GAGATGAGAGGTTTTGCTCCTGCATATGCTCCCACCATGATGAACTGAGTCACCCGAAAGCAACAGGGCAATCTATGTGATCAGTTATAGTCACTGAACAAATATTTATTAAGTAGCCATGATATGACAGGCTCATATCATGTAATCCCAGGCTTTGGGAACACATGCACACCACCATGAAATTTATATTCTAGTGGAACGTTGGGCATCAATCAAATAATGAAGACTAACTGTAAACTGAAAAAGCTTATGTAAGCTTGATGTGTGCTATAAGGATTATTTTGACCATAGTTAAGTTTTACCTGCCTAAAAACTTTGTGTAAGGTGAACAGTTTTTTTTTCTCTTCCCCTCTCTCATAATCTCTTTCCATATGTATGTATGTATGTGTGTGTATGTATATATATATATATATATATATATATATATATATATATATATATATATATATATATTTCTAGTAGGGATGGAACCCAGGGGTGCTTACTCCCTGAGGCACATTCCCAGCCATTTTTATTTTGAGAAAGAGTCTGCTCAGTTGCTTAGTTCCTCACTAAATTGCTGAGTCTTGCCTCCATTTTGTAATCCTCTTGTCTCAGCCTCCTGAGCTGCTGGGTTTATATGTGTGTTCCACTGTGCTCAGCTTTTTCTTCTTTTTTTTAATGTTGGAAGTGAATGAATGCACTGATCTTTAGTTTCCAATTACACAGTTTACATGTGTGTATACCTGAGGAAGCACCCCAAATTAAGATATGAAACCTTCCCTCACCCCAGGAGGCACCCTGCTGTCTCTTCTTGTCTTAACTACGTCCTCAGTCTGCCCTGGAGCTCCTCATATGACTTCTGTCACCACAGCTTTCGTCTGTCTATTCTTTAACTTCATATATTTGCAATCCTACAGCATCTGGCATTTTATGTCTGGTTTCCTTTGATGTCTTCCACATTTTTAAGATTCCTTTTTTTAAAAAAAAGAAACTTGATTTAAACTTGATTTTATTCACCTTTTTTTAATGTGGTGCTAAGGATTGAACCCAGTGTCTTGCACATGCCAGATAAGCTCTCTAAGGCTGAGCAACAACCCCAGCTCCCCTCAGTTTTAAGATTTCTTGTCTGCAACTCCATACCCTTTCTCTGTCTTCCTTATGGGAACTGCCCTTTCTCTCTGCCACATTCTAGCCACAAGGGGGAAGCAGAGGCCGAGGAAACCAGGAGAGACTGCCTGGGTGGCCTTTCCATTTGCCCAAGAGTGCTCTGGCATCCATGGAGCACCCTCTTGTTGGGTGTTTGTGTTTCCTTCCTCTCTGGGAGGGAGTTTCCAAATGGTTCTGGACATGCCCTAATTTTTTAAAAATATTTTTTAGTTGTCAATGAACTTTTATTTTATTTATTTATATGTGGTGCTGAGAATTGAACCAGGTGCCTCACACATGCTAGGCAAGTGCTCTACCACTGAGCCACAACCCCAGACCGCATGCCCTCCTTTTAAAGTTATGTATTTTGAAAATGCAGCTAACAAATATGTACACATATTATTCAGCTTATGAAAACAAATAGATGTAAGGATAAAATTTTATGATAGAAGTTCTGATGTACTCTTTTCCTTCCCTTTTGACTCCCAGGTCCCTGGAGCACCCATAGCGCTGGTGCCCCCAACTCTTTTAGATTTAGATTTTCCTTGGGGCAGACCTCTCCCTGTCAGTGTTTGTCCTCATGACCCTATGACCTTGGATAGCTGCCACATATTGCAGAGGCTCCATCCCTCAGCTCTAGAATGAGGTCAGTGAGAAACACCTCATGGTATTATACTAAATCATCATGGGAATGAGGTATAAAATGTTCCAGGTAAAATGACCCTCAGTGAATGGTGTGCCTAAGTATTTCTTGGTGGTTATTAGAGAGCAGAGGCCCTTGCTGGGCCTGGGGAGAGGAGTCTCTGTGACAGGAGAGGAACAGAGTGTGTAGCATCCCAAGGACTATTAGAATGTGCTTTTTGGGGCTGGACAGGGCCTCTCCTGCCCTATGCACCCCTCTATTTCTCTGAGGAGAAGAGGTCCAACTTTGAGATCTCTAGGCCATTTTCCATGACCTAGCTTTGAAATCCCTCCACTGGGACTCACCTGTTTCACCCTTAACCATACATGGGCCTGACCTACCTGGGATTGGGAGGGTCAGTAAATTTTTCCTGGGTCACTGATGGGTCACACATATGGTCAGTGCCTGTGCTGGCTCTCTGCAACTGATCTGATATTGCTGTAACTGGGGAACATGTTTCAGATATTCTGGGCCAATGTGTCCATTCTTGTATCTCATCTCCTAATAGGCAGACCAAAAGTCAGGCCCTTCTAGCCTCTCTTTTCTTAAAAAAAATATTTTTAGTTGTAAATGGACACAATAACTTTATTTTATTTACTGTTATGTGGTACAGAGGATCAAACCCAGTGCCTCTCATGTGCTGGGCAAGAGCTTAACCACTGAGCCACACCCCCAGCCCTGCTCCTTCCTTTTTATGGCAGCTTTCTCTCAGTCTGCTGTCTTTCCTTTTAAATTTTTAGTTATTGTTTGCTTTTCATTAGTCTAATACACTTCACTTAACTTTCTACAGGCATGTATATTTTTTCCCTCTGGCCTCACTCCCTTACTCTGTTCTATCTCAGGGCTTGAGTGGGAGGGATACTTTACCTCCCCTGGAATTTCATATGAGGAAGGGGTGGATGCTCATGCAGAGGGTGCTAGGGCAGGTGCTCCAGGCAGGAGGGCTCCGCAGCTGAATTCAGGGTGGGGCTGGGCCAGGCCCTGGCTCCACTAAGAGTGAGAGGCATAAGGAGGTCTCTCAGACAATTCTGGTTGGATATTTCAGGATGTGTTCAATCCACAGTATGAACAGAATGGGGGGTTTGGGAGAGTTAAATACTTTATATCAATCATCACTTTTTAAAAATATTAATGCATTTAATACATTTTACATTAACCATTGTTCTGTGGTTTAGGCATTTATCTGAAGCTATTTAGAAAACAGTTAATATAGGAAAAAGAAGAGGTATTTATTGCAGGTTGGTCATAAAAGAAAGTTAATATTAACTTCATTAGTATTAGGATCATTTAAGTTTATACAAGAAAAATAATTTGTGGTTTAGTGAATAATGTTTCTTGTCAAAGCAGCTGAACAGTAATCCTCATGAGCTGGGAGAGGACAGTGCTTAAGTTTGGTGTCCCCTGCCAGTGCTGGTCAAGGATTCTGCCAGTGTTCTTTAAGGAGACCTGACCTGCACTTTGTCACTACTTCCATGCCCTCCTCCCCAAATGGAGGGCAGAGGGAAACCTTGGGAGGAAGAATGCTCAGGTCAGGGTGAGATAAGCTTTCTGGTCATGTAAATGAGGCAACTGAGAGTCCAAGGTCACTTTCAGGATCTTGATCACTTGAGTTACCTGGGTCAGGGGGCTGGCCTGGGATGGAGATGTGGTGGTGGGAGGCAGTCTCCTGGCACATCTAGCCTCTCCCTCCTCTAGGAATTTACTAGATTGATGTTCCCAGATAGCAGGGCTCATGGCTTTATCTCTGCAGTTGTGATAATGAGATGGCATAAGTAAAATTTATGTAGCATAGTTCTTGATACTTAGTAGGAATTCAATATAATTTTGTTTTCTTCTTTTTGTAAGATTTCCCTTACAATTCTAGGCCTTGGGGAGTCTGCCTTTAGGGCAGTGATTCATGGTGGCATTGTGGGGTGGTGGTGGCATTTCACCTCTAAGTGTGGTTGTTCTGTAGGGTTCCAGGAACATTGTGGGCACCATTTCTTGCTGCTGTGCTCTGCTGCCTTCTTCATGGTAAAGGGAGCGATGTCCAGAGGGCAGGGCACACTCTGCCCAGGATCCTTTTGCAAGCTTTTGCTTTAGATGGTGGAAGGAGCCAGAGAGGGGTTGCTCCTCTGACTGGGATGGCTTTGTGGGGGCCCCAGTGTCAGAGACTCTGCAGAGATCACTGCAACTTATGTCCAGCTCTGCTTTTTCCCCACTTCCTGGGAACCAACTTCCTCTTGGAAGTGAGGAATTTGGGCCCCCTGCATTGGACTCAGAAGCAGAGGATTGGGCTCTGAGAGCAGCTTGGGGCAGGTGAAAATTCTGAGGGCAGCTTTGGGGCCTTCTGGGGTCCTTGTGACTCTGATCTATCTCCAGCTGCTGTGTTTCAAACACTTCAGGAAGTCATAGCCTTTCATAGGGGGGAGAACAGAGAAGCAGGTACGTTGGCTTTGAATACACCTCTGACCTAAGAGGAGGAAACCAGGGAGAAGCTAGTGGCAGGAAGAAGCTGAGGATGAGGTAGTCGGAGAGGCAGTGGGGGTGGGCAGGTGGGACAGTCTTGTTCTAGGAAGACCCAGGAGAAGCTTAATGAGGGTTGTTCCTTTATTCATTTGTTTTAATGATATTTCTGTAATATTTTCTGGGCCTGGGCCCTGTTCTAATTACATGTATAGTGATTATAAATTCTCATCATTTTCATTACAAACTTGGGATGTAGATGTTGTAACTATGCCCATCATACAGATAAGGAAAAGGAGGCCAATAAGTTCATTTTGGGAGTGGCTGAGCCTGGAGGGCAGCCTAGAAGACATCTACAAGAATTTATTTTTCCTTATACCACGGACTGACTTCTCTCTGCTCCTTCCAAACAGTAGGTAATTTGGGGTCTTTTCCCTGACTAGGGCTCTTTTATCTCTAAAAGATAAAAAAAAAAAAAAGTGGAAGGGAATGGGCTGAGATTCAGGTTTAGGTGAACTCCACATCTAAAACAAAAGCAAGACAGTGTTCTGGGCTCCTGTGAGGGGCACTACAGCCTCCTTGAGGATGTGTGTGTCTCTGACACTGCCCAGGCCAAACCTGCACATAATTAGAGGGAAGAACAAGAGAGAAGCAGGACTTGAATATCCTTCCTGATAGGGACCCTGAATCTGGGCCCTCCTTTAGGGGGAGTCATGAGTGGTGAATAACAGAGAAAGAGAGAGGAATGGCTTTCACCACAGAGCTCCAGGTATGGGGAAAGGAAAGGCCAAGTAGAGCTGCCCTGTGGTTGGGGTGGGAAAGAAAGGAATAGTTTCTTACCAGGTAATTCTATGGTTTCCTGATACCACAGTCTTCCCAGAAGTGCTGGAAGGATCCTGGGCTCAGCTATTTGTCAGTGTCAGGGTTCTGGGGGGCCCAGAACCCTGTTAGTATGATGTGCCAATAGGAAATGCTTTGCTCCAGCAGGGGACTGCTGTCCAGCCCTGAGCCCTGCTCTCTATGCTGAGGTGCTGGAGCTCTGGGCTGGACCTGCCTCCTGCCTGCAGGTCTCGGCCCTCATCCCCATCTCTCTCCCCAGCTCTAAAGATATGGAAGGGCGCTGCAGTCGCTCCTTGCTCTGCTGTCTCGCTTCCCTGCTTCTCCTTGTCCAGCTGTCCACAGGTGAGTGTCCCCATATTTACTGCTTTGTGGTTTTAAAAGGCAAGATATAAAAATATTTGAAAATATATTTTCCCTCATTTTTTGTTTTCTTGCCTTTTCTTGTGTGTGTGATGCATGCATTCCATTCATTCATTCATTTTATTCCTGAAATATTAATGAAATGTTGTTTGCTAGGTGCTATTCTATGAAAGAATCGGACAGAAATCTTGCCATAAAGTTTACCTTCTGGCAGGAGAAAGTGATAAAAATTGCAAGTAGGCAGAGGGGCCTAAATGTGTTGGAAGAGGTGGCCACAATGGGAAATGCAGCAGGGCAGGATGTGGGCAGTCAGGGGCATGGGAGGCGGGTGTGGGCAGGCAGCAGTGTTCAGTGAGGTGGTGTATAGATGGGAACATAATCCTGGAGAAGGAGGAGTGAGCTGTAGGACCATTTGGAAGGAGGGTTCCTGCAGGAGGAACCTGTGCAGAGCTGGCAGTGTGCTGAGGGGTGAGGAAGCACAGAGGCCAGGGTTTGCTGGGCTAGAGCCCATGGGGAGAGAAGCAGTAGGTGAGTTCAGAGAGGTCTTGGGAAAGGGGTCCACCTTGTCAGTCCTGGGGAGAATTGGGGAGCCATGTGGAGGCTTTGAGCAGAGCAGCAACATGGATTAGCTAACATGTTAAAAGGATCACTGAGGTCAGGAATCCTAGTCATCCTCCAGTTGAGATGTAATGGTGGCTGAGACCAGAGTGGAGAGGCACAGGGTCTGAGAGTAGCTCTTTGGAGGTGTTGCAGCATATCCTGCAGAGGAGTCATGTGTTAGCCTCAGAAGTCCAAGAGAACTAAGGGGGTGGAGAGTGAGGTGAACTGCTTCTTGAACATGCATTGATGGGGGTTTCCATGAATGACAGAGAACAGGATTTTCACAGCATTAAGTAGCATTTGACTCTGTGTTTTAAAGTGCATATGTATTTCTCTCCTCCCTCAGTGGAGGATAAAAATATAGACTGAAGTAAAAATTTAGAATTGGAAGAGGGGAATTTCCTCGGTGTGGCTGAATGACCAGAGTCTGATCTCACCACAGGTGTGCTCTTTGTCTGTTTTCAGGTTTGTACTGAGATAGGGCAATTTAGGCCTGGTGTTCCCAAGGTGTGCTCCCCAGACCAACCTTGGAACTCCTTGTAAATGCACATTCATTGGCCCACCCCAGACCTAGTGAATGAGACAGTCTGGATTGGGCCTAGTGATGTGTGCTCTATAAGGCATCCTAGTGGTTCAGGTGCAGAAAGCTTGAGAACCACTGAATTAGAGATTATTTCATGGAAGGGCCTGATGCCAGTGAGGGAGTGTCTTTGGCATCATTTTGGGGCCATATCATATAGTCAGGAGATCTCTTCCAAATCTATCAAACCTCACGGGTCATCTCATCTGGCCCCTGCCCCAGCTTTCCTGGCCGTCCCACCTGATGGTATATGTTCTCTGTTTTTTGGGCTGTGTATCTCTAGCTTTTTCCCCCATGTCTGTGTCCACAGAGCAGTTCCAGGTTATTAGCCCTTATTGCCCCCATTGTGGCAGTGCTGGGCAAGGATGCCATACTGCCCTGCTCCCTAGTCCCTGGCATCAATGCAGAGAACATGGAACTGAGGTGGTTCCGCACCACATTCTCACAAGCAGTGTTCATCTACTGGAACCAACAGGAACAGACTGAGGAGCTGATGGCTGATTATAGAGGGTGGACCTCACTGGTGAGCAAGTTCCTCACCCAGGGGCAGGCTGCTGTGCACATCCACAAGGTCCAGGTTTCTGATAATGGAATGTACACCTGCTTCTTCAGACATGGAGGCTTCTCTGAAAAGGCTGATTTGGAACTAAAGGTGGCAGGTTAGTTACTTGATACCTATTCTGGAGACTTGGGAGTACTGGGTTTGGTGGGAATATCAGGGATCATCTAATTTAGCCTCACATTTAATATGTGAAATAGAGGGAAAAAATGGTTCATTCAGTTTTTCATTGATCAATACAAACACTGTATATTGGGCATCTCAAATATGGGGGGGGAATTGTTCTGTGTTCCAGAGATATATCAGTATAGCATAGACCCCAGCAGTGAGTTTACCTTCTAGAGACAAACGAAGAATAAGTATAATAAATAATTTAGTACAACATGTGATAAGGTGATAAGTACTTAAGACAAAAGACCAAGTAGAATTAAAAAAGAGGCACAGGATGTGGGCTAGTAAGTTAGGACAAGCTGTAGTGTTACATAGAGGCCAAGGCAGAGCCTTACTGACAATCTGAGCAAGGTTCAAAGGAAGTAGGTATTTAGCCAAGGGGCTATCTGGGTGGGCCAGAATTTAACACTCACCTGGTGTGAAACCTTTGAGTTAGAAATATTGTTGATTATTCAGGGTATAATGAAACCATCATGGTTGGTAGGAGGAGTGAGGGGGAGGATGGTAAGAAGTAGCAATGCTGGAATAAGGAGATGGTCCTGTATTAACACCACTGACAGATGTAGAATGAAGTCATTAGGAGTGGACACCTGGGCTGGCACAAAAGCCCTGGATGTTGATGGGTTGGAAGTTAAAAAGGCAGAAGGCATACAATATGGTGATTTTGGCTACTTGCACTTAACCAGATAGTTTTTGGGGTTGAGTGTATGGGCCTTGAGGGTCTCAGATGGTAGAGTTTGTGGAGAATTGTTGGAGAGAAAGGCAGTTACCAGATCAGTAAAGACTTTGTGTGCTGTGTTATGGAGTTTGGATGCAGACTAGGGGAAATCCTAAACAGAGCCATGCTGGGAATGCTCATGTTGGCAGTTGTGAATGGATGGATGGGAGGTGAGCAAGAAGGAGGCATGGAGTGCAGTTATGATGTGGAGAGAATGAGTGCCTGACCTGAGGCATGGCAGTGGGGTGCGGGAGGAGGGGTCAGACAGGTTTAGAAACTAGATTCAACTGAATAGACTTGTGCACACAAAATTTGGAGGGGGAAGAAAATACTTGAGAGACTTTCAGAATTTTATTTAAAACATTTGTTGTTTCATGGCAGGACTATTGATAATTATGTGTCACTTCTACTGCTGTAATAATGCTGTGTAACAAGCAGCCACTATTTCAGGTATGTTTGGCAATAAAAATGTATTTAATTTAGGCACTAACCAAATTCAACTAATTGGGGCTGATCTTGGCTAATAATCACCTGGGTTTAGTTTCGCATACTTGGTTATGTATCAGAAATATAATTAAAAACAAAATCTCTCATACTAGGAGAAAATACTTTTAATACTTAATAAGCATCAAACCAGAATGATACATATCATGCATGATCTCCTAAGGAATTACACAACCAGAAAGGAATTTCATCTTTCTTTCTATAGCCTGTATACTTGTTTTCAAGATGAACAATAAGTAATTCTCTACTGAGGCCTCAAAGCAATTTGTTCTGCATATGTCATTCTAAATTTACCTGATAGTTTGGGAGACCATCTGTATCATATAACAGGCTTCATCTGGAAGAAGAATAAACTCCTCCAGCTTTATGACATGAGGTGGTTTTACAATTTGGAACAAGATGCCCATATAAGTTTGACTCCTACCTTTACACAGAAAAGGGGCCAAGGGTTGGTATCTTCCCTGATGTTTACATTTCAAACATATGATTCCCAGATCCTTGAGAAAGAAATTCCTGAGCTACAAAGCTGGCAAAATCCTAGCCAGTTTTCAAAATCATGTGTCAACATTTCAAAAGAGGAAAAAGTGCCATTGTGTAATTGCAGTTTCTCAAAGAAAATGCTAGAAGAAAAAGAGAAGAATCTTATTTTATTTAACAGGGAGAATTGATATTTTCACTTTTAATTTTCATTTGTTCTGAAGTCAGCAGAAACATTCACCAGGTGCACCTTGGTTAAGTGTGCTCATGTTTCAGGTGGTCATTTGACTGAACTAGGGCAGCTGAAGCAGGTGGACCAGGCAATGTCACATGATCCATCCTCCACTGGGTAGCCCAGGATTGTCCTCCTGTGGAAATGGCAAGGTTCAAGTGCTTTTCAAACCTCTGCAGTCACATTAGCTAAATTTTCATTGCCAATTTGAATCCCATGACTGGTCCCAGAGGCAAAAGCTAAAGGCAGTAAAAAGTGGAAGTGGAAGAACTGGCTATAAATAAGGGTGAAGAATTGGGATATTTTAATAATCATTTTATCACAAGTGGTCCAAATTATGAAGTCAGTTTTGGAGTTTTGAGTTTGAAATGTTTGTGAGGAAACCTGGTAAAGATAACTCATGGAAACATGGGTGTAGGGGAAGAGAATTCAGGAAACTAAGTAGTCATGCAATACAATTTTGGAAGTGATATACACAGAGAGGCAGATGTCCCAGGAGAGTGTGTGAGGTGAGAAGACTGAGATTCATGGAGGGAGCCTTGGGACCAAATTCTTTGTGTTGCCTCTGGCCTCACAGTTTGGGAGAAGAGCCCACTGCCCTGTGTGGGTCATGCTCCTTGATTTAATCCCCTCTGGTAGGTGACCCTTCTGATAGAAACCCCAGAATTCAACATGGAAAACCTTCCCCCTGAAGTTGTGTAACTCATAGGCAACTCTGTGGTCTCAGGGCCCAAGGAGGCCTACTGGGGCTCCACAGCTTCCTTCCTTCCAGGGATGGGTGCTGACCCTCAAGGGCACATAGAAGGACCAGAAGAGGATGGAGTGCGTGTGATGTGCAAAGCCTCAGGATGGTTCCCAAAGCCCCAGGTGCAGTGGAGAGACCTCTGTGGAAACAAGTTCCTGGCCCTTTCTGAGGACCAAACCCAAGACAGTGAGGAGCTGTTTAGTGTGGAGGCCACTCTGGTGGTGAGAGACAGTTCTGTGGGGAATGTGACCTGCTCTGTCCTTAACCCTGTCCTGGGCCAGGAGAAAGCCATGGCTATTTACATCCCAGGTCAGTGCTGCTTCCCACTCCCAGCAGAGCTATGGGAAGGGGCTGGCCTCTCTGAGTGTGCTGGTCTCCTGGGTGTGCCCCTGACCTGCTGTCTGCCTGGGCCACAGAGCCCTTCTTCCCTCAGACTTCTCCATGGAAGCCAGCATTTGCTGTGATCCTGACCATGCTGGGGCTCCTACTCTTGGGACCTAGCTATTTTATCAGAAAAGAACATTCCAGAAGGATGCAGGTGAGGCAGGAAAAGGAGCATCTGTGCAGCTTAAGGCAGAGAAACACCAGGCAAAGGAAGAGGTGCTGAAGGCCATTGGTAAGACCCCACAGGGCAAGTGCAGACCTGGTGGTGAGTGGGACAGCTGAGGAGGGCCAGAGTCTGGGGTCCAGCTCTCTAGGGAGATCTGGGGTCCTGGGCCAGAGGAGGTGACTGAGGAGATCAGAGAGGACAGCTAGAGTCAGTGGGGTTGGGTGGGTTTGTAGTTAGAAATTCAATAAACAGAAACGTTTTTCTGGGGTTTTTCAGGCACACAGTCTTTCCTTTTCTTGGGGATGGGTGTTCATGCTGTTTTTCATTTTCTTTCAGATGAACTCCAGGCAGATCTCAGCAAATTCTGCTTTTCTGCCTGAATTTTGTATGTTTCTTTGTTAGCAGACATTCTAGTTCCCAGCTCCCCTATTTCTTGGGTTGTTTTTCAGATCAGAGAAAAGCTGCTTATCTGTTTAGTACGTGACTCTCCAGGTATCTCTTGTTTCCTTATCCTACCTGGTGTCCCTTCTCCTTCTTTCTATCTAGGCAGACATGTGGTTCCCCGTCCATGGGAAGCTGATTAGAAGCTAGTGGAAGCCAGAACCCTGCTCCCTGAGCTTTCCATGATCTTGGCTGCTATTTCCTACCTAGAGCTTGGAAACTTGGGTGTGATGGTGACCCCTTGTCTGTCATGTATTCTGCATCTCATTTCAACCTTGGCTTGCCCATGTTATATTGTGTGGGAAGCCATCCATGAATTATTTGAGGGTCTTCTTTAGTTTTGGCAGCCAGGAAGGCTTTAGGATTAACCTTGGAAACTATCTGTGGCTCTCCCATGCAATAGATTTCCCAAGACACATAACCTTTATCCACAACCTACTAGATAACTTCATAGTAGCTGTGGAGGTGGGTGTAACCCATTGGGAACTGGACAGCCCACCTATAACTTTTTTTGGTGAAGGACATTCTATGGAAGGCCTTTGATGTTCCCTGATATAAAAAATGCAACTGTGGGCTCCATTTTGCAGTTTTAGTATAAAAGCTCGATCTGTATGATTGACTACCCTGTCCCACCCCTGCTTTCTAAAAATATTTACTGTGTCCTGTGGTTTTTTTTTTTGTCATTTTATTTTTCTTAGGTTTCATTTTGCAGCCAGCATATTCCACTGATGGGAACCATATTACCATCACCTGTGTGGGTCTCATGTGAGAATATGAATTTTTAGCTTTCAGTGGATCTAGCGGTTGGTTTGCACTTAGAAGCTTAAAGGCAAGTACTAAAAGTTCGTTAAATGATCTGTATAAGTAAATGGAGTCATTAAGTTTAGGAGTGTGACCTTGTGTTCATCTCCCAACAAATCACCATTGAGAGATTATGTTTTCTCCAGCTCCCAAAGGTGCTAATACAAGTAGGCTGCTTACTACAAGTGAGCATGTGGTGGAGTGAACCAAGTACTTCTTGAAATAGTGGTTCTTATTCTCTAGAAAAATTTCACCAGTGAAAAGTTAGTTTTTTAAAATTTATTTTTATTTTTTAGTTGTAGTTGGACACAATACTTTTATTTTGTTTATTTATTTTTATGTGGTACTGAGGATCGAACCCAGGGCCCTGCATGTGCGAGGTGAATGCTGAACCACTGAGCCACAATCCCAGCCCCCAAATTTGGGTATGTTTACCGAAGAATTCACCTTACATTCCTGTCTTTAAATCATTCTTAATTTTTGGTAATTTCCCAAATGTATTTTTTTAATTTTTATTTTTTTTATTTTGTGGTGGTGAGCTGTGAATCTGGAGCCTCCTGCATGCTAGGCAAGCCCTCTACCACAGGCTACATTCTCACCCCTTTCCCAAATATATCTTTGCCAGAGAAAGCTTGGATATAATAATATCTCTGACAATTGTTGAGTAAATTATATTTTATCCTCTCAAATATTTACACACATAGTATAACTTATCCTTAGCAGCAAAACTGAATAAAGACAGATAGAATATGGACTTTTATGAGTTTTGATGCAAACAGTTTTCTGACAGAGAGAAATCAGTGGGACAGTGGTAGAAGTTGGCCTAATAAAGCAGCCATCTTGATCTGTGGTCCAGGGAATTTCCCACAATACCCTGCGGTCCCTGAATACTGCAAGAGGCCATCTCCTTTCTGGCTCTCTCCTCCTGTGGGTAGTCTCATCTTTAGAATGGAGGGGAGGCCAGGGCAGGAACATTCATGCTGAGCAGGCTTGTTTTAGCTGTGGTCTCACCACCGTGTGTTCCCTTTCAGCCTGGAGGAAGGCCCCCCTGTATGCAGGTAAGTGACTCTGATGTGTCCTTGGCCTTCCCTCCTCCTGGCTCCATCTCTGCCCTTCTGTATCAGTGGCCTCCTCCCAGGATGGGATGGGTTTTCCTGCTCTCTCTTCTCTAATTTGTTTCCCACCCCTCCCAGTAAACACTTTTAACTTCTCTTGTTTTTTTCTTTCATAATTGTCACACATCAATCTGCCCCTTCTCCAAACTAACCAAAAGCCAAGAAAAATAGGAAAGCAAAATTCTCCTAAAAGGAGAGAAAAATGATTATAACTTGTACTGGAAGATCACAGGGACTTCTCCTTGGGTTTGGACCACAGAACTCACCTCATATTTCTGTATTTTAATCATGCTTCATTTATTTTATTTTATTTTATTTTACTTTTAGGTGGACACAATATCTTAATTTTATTTTTATGTGGTGCTGAGGTTCAAACCCAGTGCCTCTCACATGCTAGGTGAGCTCTCTACTTCTGAGCCAAAACCTCAGTCATAAATAATTCTTCATTTTTGGTAATTTCCAAAATGTCTTTTTAAATTTTGATTTCAGTTTTTCATGTTCTGGAGCTGAGAAATGAACATATTCTAGGCCCACCATCTACTGCAGGCTAGTATTAGTTGTAGATCTTGAAAACATGGGGTTCTACTGGTATTTGATGTTGGTGCAGTGACACTGGAGAGTTCAGTTGTGAGGAGAGCCTGGATGGAGCAGGTTGGAACTGTGGATAGGAATTGCTGGTCTCCATTATATTTCAGAAATCATATTTGACAGCTTAGGACTTACATCTTTCTAACGTGGGCCCTTGGTTCTGTATTCTCTTTATCCCAGATTCATACTGTTTAGGTCCAGGTTTGGTTTTCTTCTTTCTTCCTGTTCCTTTGGATATTGGTCTCCTCTCAGCCACCTCATGCTCTGACTTGCTGTCCTAGCTGGGTTTCTGCTAAGCACCTTAAATGTTGAGAAATTAGTTTTTGGTGTTCTGAGTTTAGGGTCCTGGATGCTTAGAGGATCTGGAACCGCTTGAAAGTATATGCAATGTTCTGTGTTTGTGTTTCTGTTATAGGAACAAAATTAAATTAATAATGTTCAGAAAAATTTATCTTTTAAGAGAATTTTGCGGTCGAGGGCCAGCATTTCCGGAAGCGCGCTGCGTGGCTTGTGTCGCTGCGGGTCTCAACATGGTGGGGTCTCCGTTCGTCGTCCCTCCCTGGCCCATTCTTTCTCTGAACATGCAGGAAGACGTCCAGTTTCAGAAGGAGGTGCAGCACGTCCGGCAGCGCATAACCCAGCAAAAAAAGCAAGAAAAACTTATTCCTGGAGTAATATTTGTGGGCTATCTGCCTCCAGCACTTTATGAAACCCAAATCAAAGCATATTTCTCCCAGTTTGGAACTATTACAAGATTTAGACTATCCAGAAGTAAAAAAGACTGGAAATAGCAGAGGCTATGCCTTTGTGGAGTTTAAGTCTGAAGATGTTGCCAAGATAGTTGCTGAAACAATGAATAACTACCTTTTTGGTGAAAGACTCTTGATGTGTCATTTTATGCCACCAGAAAAAGTACACAAAGAACTTTATAAAGAGTGGAATACTCCATTTCGTCAGCCATGGTATCCAGCCGTGAAGCGGTATAATCGGAAGCGGACATTTTTTCAAAAACTGCAAATGGAAGAGCGATTTAAAAAGAAAGAAAAATTGCTCAGGAAAAAAAAATAGCAGCAAAAGGAATTAATTATGATTTTCCTTCATTGGTTTTATCATCCAGTAAGACCAAAGATCCTTCAGATAAACCTACAAAGAAAAAAAAAAGTCTTCAGGCATACCAAAGAAGAAGAAGAAGCGGGTTTCTAAAGGCACTGCTGCCACTCCTGACAAGTCTATAGATAGCCAGGGCCCCACACCAGTTTGTACACCAACATTTTTAGAGAAACGAAAATCTGAAGTGGCGGGAATGGATGATGATGAAGATGATGAAATAGTTTTCAAGCTGCCCTTATATGATGCAGAAGGAGCAGTAGAGACTCCAACACCTAAACAATCAGGGAAGAAAATACGAAGACAAAAACCAAGCAGTGATTCTGAACGTATTATATGAATATATATCTTCTGACAAAATGTGATGGTTTTCTTAAAGTGGCTGACTATATTTTACAAGGTACAATGAAATGTAACCATCAATAGACTCAAAAGAGAAAACATGCTATTTGGAAAGCAATCAGTACTTTGGCCTTTTTGCCCCTGTTGAAGTACCGGGGTACATCAGAGATTGCAGTGGTTGGGCTCACACTGCCTTTGCCCTGGTCTCAGTTTTCCTATCCCCTCTTTATTTTGCCTGTGTTAAAGAGTCACTGTTAACTGTACATTTAACAACTAATCTGAAGCTATTTTTATCGCCACCAAATAAAGACAGTCAATCCTGCTTAAAAAAAAAAGAGAGAGAATTTTGCTTTGCCTGTTGGTCTTGGAGATATATATATATATATATATATATATATATATATATATACATACACACATACACACACACACATATATATATATTTGTTATATATTATATACATTATAATATATAATATATAAATATAGATTATATATTTATATTTGTTATATATTCTATATATTGTTATATATATATTTTTTGATTGATGAAAATCATAAAAGGAAGAATCTGGAGATGTTAAAATTGTTTACCTGAGAAAGGTGGTGGAACAAATAAGAGAATAAAAGATGATGTGGGAAGAGTGAGGAGGTGAGAAGGAAAGTAGAGTGCTCAAGATTCACCTAGAAATTTTAGGTGTGCTGAAGCAGTGAGAGATGGAAAATCACATCCTAGGTGGTTTGAATTGAGTGTGAATAGGATTTGCAGGTTATTTGTGTGCATGAAATGTAACAAACTCCTTGACATATCTTTGAGAGATTTCTGTGAATACATTGTTTTGTGTGTGTGTGTGTGTGTGTGTGTTTGTATGTGAATTTCATTAAGCCATTTCCAAGTGATTATCTCATTGAGTTTTCCTGTAATAATGAGACCACTTCAACCTTCCAGAGCAGTAAGGACAGGCATATGCTAAGGCAGTTTCCAATGCAATGAAAGATTATCCAGAAGACTCTTCAACTCTGGAGGTGAGTTTAGGACCTGTGCCATCTGAATTTGTCTAATATGCCCTTTCTTTTTTGGTTGTATCTTTTTTACATCAGGGATATAGACTGTGAGAGATAGAGAAGGGTGAGCCATGGCATCAAGGAGGCTTTGGGATCAGATGTATGAGGAACACTCTGAGAATCTTAATGATTTTTCTAGGGACAGGTTTATTAAAAAAAGAAGGATCAAATAGTCATTTTTTAAACCATCTCCCCATTACCTGCTTAATTAATGTCTATATATTTTTATGTATAATTGCATACTCTTTTATTTTGTAAGGATAAACACCGTTACTATACTAGAATCCACACTTTCATATTGCCAGGTCCATAGTGTGAGGTGGACAAATGTCTGATCTCATCATGAAATTGTAACAATGAGTTATAAATTAAAATTTTCTGTGGGAATTATGTGAAGAATGCATTTTAAGGCACACAGCATAGTACTTGATACACTAGGAAGTCTGAAAGTTTTTTTTTCTTTCACTCCTTCTCTTTTTCTCCCCTGTCTGCTTCTTTGACCTCCCTTTGCTTCTCCTTTGATAATCTCAGTCAGTTACTATATATAAAATTATAATTGGATTCCAACTAATGTGTTGGTGAAAAATGAGCAAAATTTACTTTTCTCCAAAAATCATCTGGGTCTGCTCAGCCATTTAGTATTACTAGTTTCTATCAAGCAACTCAACAAAGATGGAAATACCAATGTATGTGATTGAACCTGGGTTAGTGGAAATGGAGGGTACAGATTTAAACACAGATCTTTAAGAAAGAAAAGATCTTCTTTATTTATTATTTTCATCATTCTAATCTTGTTCCTGAGGCTTTGAGATCTCTGCCCTTTTGAGGCAAAAGCTTTTCAAATGAAGACATTTTGAAGTGTATGACATATTTAGACTTTGCTTTGGTCAATGACCTTCCTATCTTCTTCCCAAAAGGGAGTATGGAAATTGGAGGAGACTTATATGGCCTTGGGACAGTGGGGGAAGAGGGACCATGTGTTTTCTCTTAGTTATTTCAGGTCCTCATCATCGGGATGCTAGTGTGAACTGGTTCATAAGACCCTTGGTTTGGTGTCTCTTGAGAAAAGGCAGGTCTCACCTCATTGCTTGGTCTCCTTTCTCTGACCCTGAAGTAAATCCAAGGTCTGTGTCACTTATTCCTGGTTGTGATTAGGCTTTTTCCTATGACATTCAGACCTTTTCTGTTTCACTGACTCACTGGACACCTATATGTCTCTTCACCATCTAGCAGAGCATGTTATATTTTCTGGGTCCTCAGCTTCCTGTGTGCAGGAAACAGGGAGTTTTATGTTTTCTGCAAGCACATTTCTCTGCCAGTGCTTTGTTCCACATTGGGTGTGACACCTATGTAGGCATATTAGTTTTCAATTTGCTGCCAAATTACTAAAAAACTAGTGACTTAAACCAACACAAATATATTATCTTACATGTGTGTAGGTCAGAAGTCCAAGAAGGTGTGGACAAGGCTGTATTTCTTTCTGGAGGTTGTTGTCTTGTGCAGTTTCTAGAGGCCATCTGTATTCTCTCATTTGGGGTCCTGTTCTTCCATCTTCAAAGCCAGCAGCATAGCATGTTTTTGACCTTGTTTCTGTGATTCTATCTGCTTCTCCAACACAGTCAAAACCCTGTTTTACAAGAGTTCATGTGATTCATTTGGATTGATCCAGAGATTCCAGAATAATGTCCCCTTACTTTAAGAACCTGAATCTTAATCACATTGGTAAAGTTGCCTAGTCATGTATTTAACATATTTACACACTCTGGAGTTTAGGACTATGGGTTCTATCATAGCTGGAAGCTTTAAAACTCTTCAGGCAATTCTTATGGTAGGCAAATGATTAGGTCCAATATTTTTGGTTTCCCCCATATCTGTAAGGATGTTTTTCTCTTATTGGTTTGTGAGAAGTGGAAGAAAAGTCACTAGTGTTGACCTCTCACTGGATATGTTTGTTTCCTGTTTTGAACTTCTTTCTCTTCCATCTTAAAACCCTCTTCATTGCTACCTAAATGGGTAAGATTTCTCTGAGTTCCCTACACTCATGATTTATTGTCATCCTCCAAATTCAGCTAAGCTAGATGTAATTCTCTACTCATTGCTTAGAATTAACCTTAAAAATTCAGCATAGTCAGTTCTTTATAAGTCAATGGAGGTCTTAGAAATTTTGATAACCTCAATTGTATCACAAGATAACCTAGTTGTTAGAATGGTTGTGTGTCTGTGTCTTGAGAACATATTATTTGGTAGGTAAATCTGAACAGTGATCTTTCAGATTGACATCCAGCATTTTGATCTTGGGGTATTAAGCTTTTTGGCTTAGTCTTCATGGAAGGCTGCAGCAGGATGTGTGAGTGGTGTGTGTGTGCGTGCATGTGTGTGTGTGTGTGTGTGTGTATGTATGTGTATGTTTGTGTGTAAGAAATAAATACAGCAGCTGAATGTTTTCACACAGATTTTCCCTTCTTCCTCCCACATCACTGTTTCAGAAGACTGCATGCTGACCCTGATGTGTAGAGACTCTGCAAATCCCTGATATGAGATCTGTGTTCTCTTGTAGATTGGCGGAAGGAACAATTCCAAGCCTGTGAGTGACTGTGTGCTTCTAGATGTTCCTCCTGTTGCCCTCATGGCTTCTGGTGTCTCTTTAAATTCTCTGTGGTGATTCAGGTGTTGGCATCACCAATGTTGTTGCTGTAGCAGAAGTGATGGTCACAATACTGGTACTGGTTCTCAAGGGACCTGTCACAAGTCTAACCCCCAAATAAGCCTCTGGCTCCTTTCTTCTGGTTGAGGATGTGGGCTTGAGTTATAAAACTCGTATCTCAGGCGGCTTATCCCCTCCTCAGCTCAGGCAGTGATGTGGCTCTGAGGTGGTGGGTGGCTGTGTGCTTTGTCTTGGGGCAGGTGAGGACCTTGCATGTTTGAGAACTCTCTCAACAGGGCCTGTCACTCTGTATCCAGACTCTGCTTACCATAGGCTTTCTGTTTGTTATGAAAAAACGCGTCTGACCTGGAAGGACCCCTGTGTGTACTGTGATAAAACTGCAGTGTGTTGGGTCTTGAGGGCATCACGTCACTAAGATGGTACTGGGAAGTGGAGATAGAGAATGACCTCATAAGCAAGTGGACTCTGGGAGTCTGTAGGAAAGATGTGAGCAGAACATGCTGGCACAAGGAAGTACCAGGTAGGGGGTTTTGGGTCAGTTTAACAACAGATATTTTGCCTGGACTGGTCCATGACTTTGTAATCTCCTAGGCAGGTTCTTTGCAGAGTGGGGGTCTTCCTGGACTACAGTGAAGGGGGTGTCTCCTTCTATAACATGATTGATGGTTCTCACATTTTCTCTTTCCCTCCAACTTCCTTCTCTGGAACTCTCTTTCCATACTTAATGTTTATGTATGGAGATGTGTCCATGACAATCTGCTCTATGGCAAGTGAGTCTGAGGGGCTCCCTATATCCCTTCACAATTCACCTCTTTTGGAGGAGGTCCTGAGCACCTCGACAGAGTGGTTCAGCTTAGGCTGTGGTGTGAAGGTGTTCCCCCGGAGGCTGAATCTCCATTACTTCCCTGACATTCCAAGGTTTTATCTTCATAGTGTCCCTTGCTGTCTATGATCCTTTACTGTGGCTGTTCCTTTGGCTACAGACTCCTTGTGGCAAAATCCCATGAGATGATGCTTAGGAGGCTCAGTGGGCTTTTCCTCCTGTTCTTTGTTCAGACTTCAGATGTGTGAGAGTTCTGTTCATGTCTTATATTCAGCTACCAGAAGATAAAAGTTGACTGTTTTATAACTGGTTTAATGAATGTGGAATTTAACTATAAGGAGATATATATGTATAGAGAGAGATATAGATGTATGTATGTATTTCAGACAGGTGTGGCAGCACATTCATGTAGTCCCATCTACTAGGGAGGCTAAGGCAAGAGGATCACTTTAGTCCATATGTTTGAGACCAGGTTGGGCACATAGTGCTACCCTATCTCAAAAAAAAAAATCAAACAAAGGGGATACCACAATACTGGACTTGAATGTTTGTAGAGGAACCTTGAGGTTGAGAATGGTCCCCTGTTCTATTTTTGCAGATTTGTACTATCAGATGATAGAAGTTTATTATCCAGAAATTTCCAAGGAAATGAATAGTCTGTTACTCACCTTTTGTTCTCTGTGAGAAAATCAACCTATAAGGAGGAGAGATTTATTTTCTTCACAGTCGTAGAGGTTTCAGTCCATAGTCACCTGCCTTCATTGTTTCTGAGGCAGAATGTCAGTCATATCATGACAGGGAGCAGGTGGTGGAGTGAGTGGTTTACCTCATGGCAGACAGAAGGTGAGAGAGAGAGAGAGAGAGAGAGAGAGAGAGAGAGAGAGAGAGAGAGAAGAGAGAAGAGAGAAGAGAGAGAAGAAGAAGGAGGAGGAGGAGGAGGAGGAGAAGAAGAAGAAGAAGAAAGAAGAGAAGAAGAGGAGAGGAGAGAGGAGAGAGAGACAAGGAGCTGGGACAAGACAGTCTTCAAGAACACATTCAAGTTATCTACTTCCTTTCTGTTCCTAGTCCCCACCTCCTAAAGTTTCTACCACCTCCAACAGGGCCACCAGCTGGGGACCAAGCTTTTAACACATGACCTTTGGAGGGTATTTCAGTTCAAACTCCAATGAATGATGGAGTTTTAAGAGTCCAACATTCTATGTAACCTGCTTCCTATTCTGGGATGAATGGAACATACCTATTTTTACATGACTCAGTAAATTTCTGGTACCAATGAGAATGTGTGATATGTTAATCCAGGGAATTAAGGAAAGGAATCGATCCCACCCCTCTTATAAAACTATCAGTACATATCCATTATGCAAATTATTGGGTTTTATTGTGACAATTTTATACATGCATATAATATACTTTGATCATATCTACCATTCCTGCTGCCCTCTTGACTTTTCCCTTCATTCCCCTTTTGTGTCAATACTGCAACCAGAGAAAGAGAAGAAACACTAGAGTAAACATAAATGAAAATGAGAATTTTCAGATGCAAGATGAATTGCAGATCTTGAGCAGAGGTTCAGTTAATATATTTTCTCTTAGTACTTCCAAGCCTGATGTTAAGGGTGTATGGAAAATCATAGCAAACAAGAAGAGGACTATTGAGGTCTTAGACCCTGCAGGAATAAAGGTGTTCACTCTACCAGTTGTTCTGACTGGGGGAGAGAAGACACAGAAGGAGAATTGGAAGATAGAAAGTACATGTAACTACACAGTCCTTCTAGAAATGAGGACTGTAAAACTTTGTATACTTTCTCTTTGCTTGTGGCTTATCTGTGTATATTTGTATGTATTGACCATTTACTTTCTCTGTCTTCTTATATTCATTATTTTATACACAAATTGTTATCTTTCAGGTCCAGTATAGTCAATGAGACTGAGTGAATATGAAGAGTAAATACTATAGCAGTGTTGTATACAGTGACTGGAGTGCTTCTTTCCTTATGTGGGGGAACAGATGAGAACCTCTTCATTCGTCAGGTGCCTTTGTCATAATATATTTGTTGTCTTATGGAAGTTCAAATGTTTGTAAAATGGTGTAACATGTAGGCATAGATAAATAAAGTCAAAGGTATGGACAGAGTCATTATCATTTCATTGAATTTCTGCTCCAAATCCACTCTATGTTGGTCTTCTTTGTGTTCTTGGAACTGGACCTTGTAAACACTTCTTTGCCATCTGACACAATGTGAGATTGTTGGTACAATGCACTGGAGGGGCCACTTCAAGTCAAGGTATTTCTGTTTCTCTCTTTCTTTCTTTTTCTTTTTCTTTTTTTCTTTCTTTTTTTTTTGTACCAGGGATTGAACGCAGGTGTGTTTAACCATTGACATACATCCCCAATCTTTTTTTAAGAATATATTTTTCTTTAGTTGTGGATGGATGCAATGCCTTTATTCAGTTTATTTTTTAATGTGGTGCTGAGTATCTAAGCCAATGCCTCACACATGCTTCAACACTGAGCTACAATCACAGCGACCCCAATCCTTTTTAATTTTTATTTTGAGACAGTGTTTTTCTGTGTTATTCAGGGCCTGGATAAATTGCTGAGGCTGGCTTTGAACATGTGATACTCCTGCCTCAGCCTCCTAAATGCTGTGATTGCAGTCATGGGCCACCATACTAGGCTAGGGTCCAAGCTTTTAAAACATGAGCCTTTGGAGGGTATTTCAGTTCCAAACTCCAATCAATGATGAATTTTTAAGAGTCCATCTTCCAGTGGTGTACAGAGGGATCAAATATAGAAATTGCTATATTGATATCTTTATCTGTATTTTAGTCTCTGTTCTGGGATCCTGAAAAGTAGTTTCTCTCCCTGATCCTTGAAAACAGCTCTCAAACCCCTTGGAATTTCCTGATGGGAGATGAAAGGACAGTCTTTTGTTATCAATAACAAGCCCCTTTCAGCCATCTGAGTTTATGATAATAAGATAACTTTTAGAAAAACCTGGTCCCCTCAGGATGGGGGCAGGTTGCCAAAGGAACAAATTTTATGAGTAGAAAGTTGAAAGCAGGGAGGAAATAGGGCTGAAAGTTGAGTTAATTTAATTTACAGCATTCACTGATTTAATCAATCATAATTACACAGTGAAACCTCCATAACAGCTTTGAAGGAGCTTCTGACTTGATGAACAACAATGCATCCATGTGTGTGTTGATGTGGTGCCTCTCAAACTCCGGGGACTGATACCTCTGTGCTCGACACATTTCTGGGCCTCACCCTATGAACATGTTCATCTGGCTATTCACTGTGTACTTTACAAGATATTTTGTAATAAATTGGTTAGTAAACAAAGTTATTTCTCTTGGTTTTTGTGAGTCATTCTAGAAAATCACTCTCAAAAATCATCTAATCTGAGGATGGTCCTTGGGAATGAGATAGAAATTTAGGGATACTAAGGAAAAAAAGTCTCTCAAGGAGAAATGTGCCTGTTGGGATGTGGAACAATAACTTGTGAACTGCTCTTGACTTGGACTAAGAAGCTAAAGGGACAGAAAGAGACCAAAATATAAAAATGCACCAAAAAATTCCATAAATTACTTTATAATTTTCCAGTTTTGTATAAATTTTCTAGAATAGAGCAAAGCAGGAACAAGATTTCAATACAAAGACACTACTAACCTCATGAAGCTTGGTGCTAATGTTATTGGATCAATTGCCTGTCCAATCAGCTGAAAACAACACAGAAGACCAGATTCCCTAACAGAAAACCATCTTGCTGAATATTTTCCAATCTCCAAGGAAGTTCTTTCCCTTTGGATCATATATTCTACCTTTGTACCCTAATAAAATAACCTGAACTTTATCCCTGGTAGTGTGTCTCTTATTGCTCTTGAGATTGCCCATTTTATTCTCTGAGTGTTCCTATATTCACTTTTCACTTTCTAATGATGCTCTTCCTCTTTTTGATAAAGCCCAACACATACTTAAGTCTTTTCTACAGTATGGGCAAAGGTCTGAAAGATCTAAGCAGTGGTTTCCTCTTCCACTGGAGAGACTTCATTGGACTTCCTTACAGTGACAGAAACTTCAGAAATAGGTGGGTAACTTAAGGAGGCATCTTGGTATGTCAACTGAAGTTATGGGGGGCATTCTTGCAAGAGTGTGAGGTCCACTTAACTTGTGGGGTCTCCTCTAATTTCTTAATGGAATTATAGGACACCCAGATATATGCAGAGAATTGGAGAATACCTTGGTGTGGAAAACCCCATACATTTCGTATTAT